CTACCACAAGGCATAACTCAGAATTCTTACATTTTATAAATAATTTAACAGAGAAATGAACTCTACACTGCCATATGCTGTAGATCTTAGACTTCCAGAACCAATAGAGAAAAGTAGGATACTGGGGTTCATTTTAGTCAAAAGCTGAGCCACCTTAAATCCCGCATTAACAGAATTAGCCCACTTGGATTGTATTTCCCCTCTGCCCTCCTTATCGCTCACTGTCTCATGGTTGAGACACATACTCAATGCTCCAGCCATCATCTACCCACACAACACACAGGTAAAGCCGTCCCTACATTTGGATCATCCTCACGATGTGATTTCTTTATAGTAGTTTGATCAAATTCAGGATTTCATATGTGGACTGTACCATATGTGTAAATACTTTTTTTTTTGCAATCACTTGCAGGGTTCGACAGGAGAGGTCAAGCCAGTGAAGCAATATTTTCAACAAAGGGGAAGTTCAAGTGGCACAGGACAGGAAAAACTCATATTTGCCTGTGATTGTCAGAACTGACAGATTACTAAGACACTTAAAGCAACTACCATGGGAAATACTACCAGTAGCGCACTATCAAAGGAGATCCTGGAGGACCTCAAGCTCACCACCATATTCAGTGAAACTGAGATCTCCCAGTGGTACGAGAACTTTCAGAAGCAGTGCCCGACGGGACGCATAACACCAGAAGAGTTTGAGCAGATCTACATCCGCTTCTTCCCTGACAGCGATGCCAAGAGCTACGCACGACATGTGTTTCGCTCCTTTGACACCAACGATGATGGCACTTTGGACTTCAAGGAGTACATCATCGCACTGCACATGACCTCCACTGGGAAGACGACGCGAAAACTGGAGTGGGCCTTCTCGCTGTTTGATGTAGACAAGAACGGATACATCAACAAGACAGAAGTGACGGAGATCTGCCAGGTGAGGCGGAACACAGTGATGTGTAAGATGAGAATGAAATAATTAGACGCTTCAATTGTGGTTCTAGTATGACAAAAAAATAATGATGGTATCAACTATTTCTATAGTGTGATGATGTGTCTTACCCTAAACATTCCCATTCATATTTTATGGAGAGTAGCATCAAACCATGTTGACTAAGAGTGCCAAAGACAGAAAGACTATTTTATTCCACCATAATGTTCATCTTTATCGCTGCTATAAACAGATAATATCAGAAATTTAAGTTGTTCTGTTGCCCATAGTCCTCAGAGAAATGTTTTATTCGAGGAGGTCAAAGCTACAACAGACAGACAAAATAAGAGGATTACTTGACATCATGCAATACAATACAACTGCCCTGTAGTTTTTACTTATTTTTTTAAGTTTATAATGTTCAATGTTCCTTTAAATTTCTATTAGAGCGAGGTGTTGATGATTATTGTTGGGCCGCATCATATTTTTAGGACTTCCTGGTACTTTGATCACTTCCTTTGAGGTCCATGTAAAATGAGTTGTTATATATTGAAAAGTAGGTCTCAGTGCTAATTGCCAGCCCAATTAGCTAGTCTATTTGAACCTCAAACCCCCGATAATCTCTGTGATTACAGGGTTAACTGTCAGATAATAGGCAGTCGTACTCTTAAGCAAGACTACTCTTGTATTGCTCTGTGTCTATAGAGGGACTGCTCATCAGCCCTGAGTCTAATCCATGTTTCTTTTATTCATGAGGCTGCCACTTTTGACTGTTCAACGCATTTATGCTGATCACTGTATAATAGTTGTTAAACATTGTATTCAAATCATTAAAACTCAGTCAGATGGAGGTTATACAGTTTCTTATCTTCTTTTTTAAAGACAAATGATATTTCATTGTAAGTGGTTTAGACAGATCAGCTGTCTATCCAGCTGATATTGTAATGGGATGTAATTGCTGGCCAACTAGCCTGTGTTCATGTGCATCACGTTTACAACCGAATAGCTACATTTTAAAGCCACACTGACAAAAGTTCAACAAACTACAACAGAATCAGACTCTGTGGAGAGGTAGTGAATTAACAGATCTACTATATGCATTTAAACTAACATCATTATTGCAGAAAGATAATCCAGAGTATCTGTTTTCCTTTTTGGATTTGAAGTGGGAAGCAAGTAAGTGAGGAAGGTAGGACTAGCCAATAGTTACGTCCAGTGTAGTATACTACACTAATAGGATATAATAGACTAGTTCAGAGAGGGTGTAAAAACAGTGCATCTTGAGGGTATCCACATTTGTGGCTGCTTGATATAGATCTGTTTTTATTATTTATAAGTTAGTAAATGCCATTCATCTATAAGTGTGAACTATATAGACAACAAGATCAGAGGGGCAAGATGGAGGGACAGTCCAGGGAGAAAAGAGAGGACATCTTGGTGTTTGGCCTGTGGCCTGAGTCTTGGCACTAATCCATGTTAATCTAGGTGTCTTAAATGTGGGAGATGAGTGCTTCCCCTCTAAGTGGGACACACACTTAAAGGCCTGAACCTAAAGTGCACAGTCATTTGATCATTTACAATCCGTTGGATCTAAGTGGCATATTCCAAATTCATTATCTCTGAGAAATGACACACAGGCCTGATTTTGGTGCCATGGGCGGCTTGATTATTAATTTATTCACTTTTAACTTGTAGAGTCTCCATTTTAATTGTGATGCCCAAGCCCTCCAGGATTGCTCTCTTAGCTACATTTGGGAGGCAGATCAGCTGTCATGTGGGGATTGCAGGCTACATTTTATGTAAGATTTAATTGTAGGGTACTTGATTTGGTTGTTTTCAGCCAAGTTTTACAGAGTATACGATGACTAATGACAGTAATCAGGGACTAGACATAAGAAAATGTGTTGGCCTGTAGCTTTTCTCGAAATGTCAAGTTGTTTTGCATGCGACGCTCTATACAACACAAAACACTAATTAACTTGAACTTACTCACTTCGTCCTACAGGCTACACGCTTCTTGGCTTGCACACATTTCTTTTATGTGCTGTGTTGTGCTGTTGACTTTTCATACATAATTTGTGTGAGAGAAATGATGCAGCGTTATCACCGATCTTATACCCAACCCCCCTCTCAGGCCATATTTAAGCTGATCCCCAAGGAGGACCAGAGCAAGCTACCAGAGGATGAGAACACACCCGAGAAAAGAGCCAACAAGCTGTGGTCGTACTTCGAAAAGAAAGACAACGGTAAAGGAAATAACACACGCATGTCTATACATTGTGCCCCAGCCGTACATGACAGGTCACTGTGTTCTTATTACTATGTTCTTATCACTATGTACTTATGTTGAGGAGAGATGAAATCAGTGTAAGCTCTTTCTACCTTTCCTCAACAGCTGCTCTTACATCCTGTGGTGAAGATTACATTTTACAGCTTTTTGGCTTAACAATAATACGAGCAATAAATCCACCTGGGGCACGTCCCTCCAGTTACAGCATCACATGTGTCATGCAAGCTTTATTATGTATGTAGCAGCCATGTATCATGGAGCCTAAAGGGATTCCACTGCTTTGCATGCTACTGTCATCCAGACCAGCACAGCCACACAGGAGATAAGAATGGATTCCTTAAGATAAAGACGTATTATTGAACCTCATCTTTACCCCACGCTTCTTACTTTACATCTCGTTTACTGTTTTCTCTTCCTGTCTTGTTTCCCTCATAGAGCGACTGGCCGAAGGAGAGTTCATCCAAGGAGTAATTGAAAATGAGAATGCAATGCGTCTCATCCACTATGAACCAATTAAACAATAAAGTCATCCTTACTTCGTCCACTCTCACTAGATACTTTCATTTCTTCCTCATTTCCTTCTGAGCCTCAGATGCTTCCTCCCCCCTCCTCTTTGATCCACTCAACCGCTCTGTGTAAATACTCCTTTCTGCAGCATTGGTTATGTCATATTGATGATAAATGGATATCAAATAGAGGCTAAAAGAGGCAAATTATGACGTAGTGTTTAAAACGTGTCTACAGATAAAAAGATTTATGGTGACTATATTGATGCAATACATATTATATATATACAAAGAATATGTATGATGAATATTGTCCTATTGTTAATCTTTTAAATGATTTGAATTCAATTTTGGCTCTGGAGAAATTAATGGTAATGACTATATAAGTATCACACCTGATCGTTAGCTCATTCATTTTTTTTAACAGAACTGGAAATGTCTTAATAGAGGTTGTAGCTCTTACATGATGTCTATTTACTCTACAATCAATTAAAGGTTTTCTCATAAATCTGTGCTTTGAAAATCAATTTATTTGTATTTCCCAGATCACAGTGAATTCTCCTATGACCTGGAAACATACTGTAAAATATAATGCTAACAAAAATGGTGCTTTAGGTTTTCAATTATGTTTATCCCTTACAGTAAATCCAGGAGTATCCCACACGTAAAGCCAACAAACATTTAAGGTAGATTGTGGTACACTTTTTTGAAAATGTTGCACGGTATAATTTTACGTGAAACACAATAAATACCTGAATGTAAAATCCAGTTTAAAACAAGTATTTCCCTGAAATTATTCATGGTGCAGATTGTTTATGTATGTATGTATGTGTGTGTGTGTGTGTGTGTGTGTGTGCGCGGCCTGTCGGTGTGCGTGTCTGTGTTTCTTTCCAACTTTCAGTCTGACCCCCCCCCACCCCCCCCCCCCCCCCCCCAGCCCTCCATCCCTTCACATGCTTTCCATCTCTCCTCACTCTATTCCCCCTTCTTTCCATCCAACTCGGGATTACTGGTTTACACATAATCTTCTGTTCAACATCAGAGAGCAGACTTTTCAAAATCTCTGTAATCTTTCTTTCACTGTGTGTGTATCGTATGGGTTCGTCTGTGCATCTGCAGAGAGACTGTGTTTGTTTGCATCAAACGTTGGTCACAAGCGAGAGAGGAGATTGAAAAACAAAGCATGTCGTCACTCGCATTAATGAGAATATATTGTGTATTTAAAGGACAGGCTGATCCGTTAAGGTTTTCAACAGGAGAAGAAACATCGACCCTGTCTAAGCAGTGAAATGATCGTTGTCCTTATACATTGCATGTTGATATATAAACAATACAATTATTTAAACATGTATATGCCTTTACATATTGAGACACACATTTACTTTCCTAGCATGAGGCACTGAGAAATACCCAGAAAACACGCAGTCTTGCATGTCAGTGTGACATATTTATATACTATAGTCTTTGCAGTTTGGTATGCATTGATTTGACCGGCCTTCAACCACAAATTAATATTTCCCAACTTCACTGAAAGTCATAGTGAAAGAAAAGAAAAACAGGATCTATTTGCTCACGTTGATCCGTCTTCAGCACGGTGACAGCATCTTTCCTTTTTCAGTTTTTCAGGCCTTTTAAGTTGATGGATATAAAAAATCCCTTAACAAGGTGAATCAACTCGGTCCATGGCCTCATCCATCTCATCCATCTCTCTCTCACAGTCTTCACACCCCTCTGAGCCACAGCCTCCGACCAAAACCAGCGTTGGTACATCCCCATTTCCCACTCCAACCACACTGCCATTCGGGGCCCACGCTACGTCGATCATGCCGTCTGGACACTGCAACAGGCCGCTGACAGAGTAGAGCCCGCCTCCTGGAACGACCTCGTCATAGGAAGGAGCATGAGTGGCGGCTCTTGCTTCCTCCAAACGGAGCCTCTGTTTGCGACGGAGCTCGATGATGGTCTTTGTGTAGGAGTTGAGTGTGACCACAGCCGCCCCCATACAGCAACTGAAGGACACCCAGGCAAGGCTGGGAACAGAGGGAGATTTAGCATAATTAAAGAGAGAAGACAAACATGTAAATAACAAGTACGTACATGCTTTAACAATACAGGCTTGTATGCTGTCCTAAAAGAGAGGCCACCTACGCAAAAGACCAGCCGTAGTCCCAGGACTGAGGCCTCCAGTCTTTGGGGCCCACAATGACTGTCATCTGAAACACTGTGGTGAACATCATATGGGCCACCATCCCAAGAAGACCTATATGGGGGTGAAACAAACAAACCAGACAGAAAAAAGAAAGATGGCCATGTGAATAGAGAATTATATATGGAGGAGGAGGTTGTTGTTAGTTAGTTAAAGAAAAACGAAAATGTAAAAATGTAAGGATCCACTGCGCCTCACCTGATAACACAGTACAGATAGCTGCATAGGCATTAATTTTTAGCGAGTGCATCTCTTTTTTGGAACACAAGACTTCCAGCCACATCAGTAAGAAGCCCATCCCCAGCAGACCGATGTACGTAAACTCTGAAATCACTGAGAGCCAGAGCACACCTACAACATTGAAAATACAAACAAAATTGACACACACAAATCCATATACAATTTCTTTTAATAATTTCACGTTCTTTATATATCGGCTGATACACAACTCACCTTGTGTTTCTCCAGGTGTTAACTCTATAAAGCTTCGACACTTCTCCCCTGCCAAACAAATTTATAGATATGAACAAAATGGAGACAGAGTATAGAGAGTATAACTAATAACGTGTGTATGGACGTGTGCTTTGTGGCCTCACCATCGCTGTGTTTCTCACAGCTTTCCCAGAAACCAGTGTGGAAGTATCTAAAAGCAAACTTGTCTTCTCCCGTCTCCCAGATGTACTGAACTGCGTTGGCCAGCTGCCTCTGTCTGATCTTGGCCAGCTCGTCCCTCCTGGCTGGAGACAGTGTGCGGTTGAAGGGGTTCTGGGTAGGACTCTCTGTGTGACCGCACAAAAGGATGACAATGAGAAGAGCATCTTAGGTATATTTTTCCACTTGCTTATTCCGATTATGGATAGTGAGTTGGTGGCAGGAGTAGAACCAAACATGCGCTGGGTGGACCAATTCTTCACAGCAAACCAATCCAGACCTGCACTAGCGATATCATGCAAACATTAAACAAACTCAGGACCCTTTTCCTATCAGGTACCAGCATTAACAACTGATTCAACTTACAGTCCATGTAAGAGATCCACAAACACTGAAGTGCATACTGAACACATGTACATCATGCGTAGAAGCAGAAGGGAGACTTAAATGCACCACTGTAAAGGTAAATCTTTTTGTACAAGTAAACAAAGTACATGTAGTTATGAAAGATGATTCCTTCACGCAGTAAAATATGTTAATCCCATTGTGGATCAAGCATATCTGTTGAGAAAATAAAAACCAAGCAGCAGGCAGTGCGCTCACCCCCATGGATGAATAAACCTTTGGGATCTACCCTCACACCCTGCAGATTAATACTAAACCATAATTAAATTCACTGTGGGACGAAGGTATGTTGAAAAAGAGATTATTAAAAAATATCAAACCAAGGACAATCAGTTTCTCACATGGGGAGAAGCCGGTGAGTTTATCCACTCAGATTAGTTTGAGGTATTGGTTGTTATGCAGTGACACAGTGCAACGAACAAGAAATCCAACAGTGGTGTAATCAGGTTCAACGGTCAAGGCCAAAATGTTGGTAAAGTTAAAGTCAGAAAGCTGCAATTCATACCCTCGACACATTCTGGAAGATTTAAGAGATGATACACAACGACAAACTGACCACATGACGCTCAAACAAAGATGTGACATAATGTGTGCACACTTAACACATTCAACATTCATTCACAGACGCCTCAAAAAGCATTGTGGAGACTGAGCGGTAAGGGTCATTCTTGACCATGGGAATGGTACTGTGTTTAGATTACTAAATTAATCTTAATTTAAAGTCAACTTTCTATTTTTTTTTCCATTACAAAGATATATTAATCACATCTCAGAGTTTGGTCATTGTTCTTGATCTGTACTAAGGTAGAGTTTGCTTATGAAGGCCTAGCGATGGAGTTGAAAGCTCCAGGAAAGCCTGTAAATAGACCTTGAGACAAGATTGATTTGACAAATTACAGTGATTGTGCAAGAAATACATAAATGATGCAACTGTCTAATTATCATTGGAGCAGGACAAAGCATCATCCGTAAACGTCTGACGCAGAGTAACCTCTGACGATGACGGGTGGTACCTGGTCAGAAACAACATTTCAACATTCAAGTTATGCCTGACTATCGCAAAAGCCTAATGCCAGGAAAACAAATGAATCCATGAACTCGTGCTGTTCACAACAAAGTGTGACATGCTGTGAACGTGTTGCAACAGACATCAGGATAAGTCACCAGGCAACTTTTTGTAGTTTAGTATTGTCTCCTTTTGCTTTGGGCCAATACTTCTACTAACCAGTGTGGAACATAACAAAGTACATTTACTCTGTAGTACTGCACATCAAAGAAATCCATTTTATGCTTCTTTATACTTCTACTTCACCACATGTTGTACTTTATACTCCACTAAATGTATTTGACAGCTGTACTCACTAATTACTTTGCAGAATAACGTTTGACATAAAAAACATACAAACAGCCTTCATAAAAAGGGTCTGAATACTTCCTCATAAATGAATGCAACATTGTTGTTTATGAGATGCTAAATCTGTGTATGTACACGAATAATCTTTGCTCAAGAAAGTTTAGCTCAACAGTCAGTGCACATCTCCACCTTGTCTGCTGAATGATCTGTTGAGACTCAAAAAATTGTCAAAATCAGGGGGGAGCAGCATCAAGCTCCTCAAAAAGTGGATATTAAAATAAACAAATGCAAACACATTTACCAGTAAAAATAGAACATCAATCCAAGTTAGATTACACTTAAAAGAAACAATAAAGCATAATAAAGCTGCACAAATGATGTGGAGAGCTAAAAGACAACGGGACATCTACCTGTGGTGTAAGGCTCGCTGTTGTTCTGACCACAGTTCTTCATTTTGACGGGCGACAGGCAGAGTGGCTTGACCACCTTGTGGGTGCCCTCACACCAGTAAGAGGTGCAGAGAGCCAGGATGGAGAGGGCCAGAGCCAGAGTGGTCAAGGTCAGGGAGAGCAGGGAGCGAGATCGACGGGACATACCCTCCAGCATGGCCACACAGGAGAAGAGGGAGGCAGAGGGAGGACAGAGAGAGAGGGGGGGGAGAGAAAGAAAGGCAAAGATGGGGCAGATGCTGCACGTTGGAATAGGACAAACAGGACAGAGGGTACGGCTGCAGTCACAGATGGAGCCGTGAGGGCGGCACAGATGTTTTGGGCTGGTTTAAAGAGGTGATGAGCTGCCAGGTTTAAATGGAAAGATAATTATGATGTAACAGTACAGGCAGAAGATGACAAAACAAAGCTGACACGGTGATACTTTAAAGTCAATGTGATTAAAAGAGAGGAAGATAACGAGAGCGAGAGGGGAGGGAGGTGGATAAGATGCTCTAAAGTTGATTCACGTGGGAAAGGGTAGATGGAACAAAATAAATGAACAAGAAGGGATTTAGGAGGACGGTGGTTCACTCTAGGAGAAATGCAAGGACATAACAGAATGCTGGCCAGACAGCGTTAATGTGATGTCCTGCTATTGGTCCTTGTGGTGAATGATTGTGGCCATACATCCCCTGACTTCAGCACTTGTAGACCCATTTGCGTGTGCACTTAATAGATCAGTATGACTGTACCAAAAAAACCTTTAAATTGTTGAATAGAGCACATAAAGGCTGAAACCAGGGTGTCCATATGGTGACATCTAGCTTTGTTGAATATCAGTGAGCCATAAAAGTGCCTGAGGACACATACGTCCTCCAGACGAGCTATGTAAGAGCAAGTAACGTGTGCTATCCTGTGACCCCGGCTAATATCTTCCTGCTTCCTGATTATTAACTCACTCGGGCCTGACCCTGCCGCTCATCATGAACTCCACTGCTGGACCCTGAGTCAGTGGAAAACAAGGCGGAGGGGAGTAAAAACAAGAGATTACTTTTTTCTTTTGATGAAATTATGGATAAACCACAGTTTTAAATGAATTTTTCTGCTAGTAATCCCTGATAATCTTAATCTGTTTGTGTTAGGTGTGTTTTAGTGTGAAGTGCATTCTGACCATGTCTGCTGTCTCTCTCTCATGCAATGTCTCCCCATCAGATCACAGACCCTGAAATACAACAGAGCATTATTTAAACCAACTGAATTTAGCACAATGCCCGATCTACATGGGAACCCAACAATGGTGGTTTCTGGTACCTAAAATAATGCTGACAATAAACACATTGAGTAGCAATTGTGGAATAAATTTGAGATTATTGTGGCTACATGTTGACAAAAGACTACAATCTGTACAAACACGTTTGTTTCTGTACAAAGATTTTTTTTACTGTATCTGTGAAGAGTACAATATATGTGACATGTACAACAGCCGAGGAAGAAGGCCAGCCTCAATACATGATTTATGTGATTTTTTAAATGTTAGGACAGCTAGCTGTATACAGTATGTGACCTGCGCTCTGTTTATCCCGATATTATCATTATTTCCTCCAGTGTCAATTTCTTCTCAATTGACATTCAGCGATAACATATTAAACATATACAGTGTGACCAATATAGGTTTGCACAGCATGAACAATTTGGATGGAAGTTTATCTTAGATTTAGCCAGAATCTTACATAAAGACCTTAACGCCGATATAAATTTTAGGTAGTCCTACAAGAAAATTGGAAATTCTTTTTCATTAACAACAGAAACATAAATACAAGGTCATTGTTTTTCAGATGTTTGTCTGTCTTGACAAATACTAAGCAGCTGATTAGAAACTGGACACACACCATTTGCCTCATTTTAACCTATTAGCCAAATAGAATATGCTTCATTTTGGGTTAAATAAGAAAAGCAATATACTATTGTAACAATTGATTGATTGTTTAGTCTCTTTATGTGAGAAAAGAGTGAATAATGCCCATAATAAGAATGTGAAATCTTAATATTAACTGTTTCATCTGAACATCAATTCATAACACAAAGCTACTCAGTTAACATCATGAATAACAAAGAAAAGCATCAAATTCTCACATTAGAGAAGCTGCGTATGAAAAACAACTGAAATTTTTACATTTCTGCTCTAGTTATCTTTAAAAGAATCAGTGACAAGTACCTACCTAAGATATGTTTCTTGTCCCTTGTACCACTTCAGGTCAAACATGAGGTTGCCGTCACAGAAAAACACTTTCACGTCTTGCAGTCCTCCGTTATGTCCGCCTTGTACAAGAGCGCTTAAAAATCTCCTTAAGAACTTGGTTTTATTTGCTCCATCTTGAACCGATTCTCCGTGTCACTAACCTCTTCATCTTTACCCTCTGCATCTGTCGCTAGTATTCCTCCTCCAGGAGTGGCCCTTTACCTCTCCAGCTGCACTCGTCTCTTTAATCCTCCTGGCAATAGTTGGAGACGGAGATGCAAGACGGATGGAGCGACTGAGCGTCTGTCTCCACGCCTCTACTCTCTTTTCTGTCTTTCTTTGGAATTTATGTCACAAACCCATCCTGAATCATGTAATCCCTCTAAGTCCATCTGTTACTGTAGTGCCCCCTCTCTTCCTGCATCTGTCCATTTTCGCAACCTCCCAAAAACCTTTAACACCAGTCTGAGCTCTATGCAACTGTAACTTTCACTAGGTGCTCGATGATTAAACTAAAAGAGTGAATAAGTGTTTGAACCAACGTATCCATGGGAATGAGCTTTTCCTTTCTTTCCTCCTATTGAGCACCAGCGCTGTGCAAAGCCGAAGTTAAGTGTATTTCTTTGGGTGCCAAATGTGATTCCTTAAAAAAATAAACAGTAGAAAGAGCTTTATATAGTTACAATCATTTATTTACAATATGTATGTACAGAAAAACTTAAAGAAAAAAAGAAAGAAGCAAAAAGAACATTGTGTGCATGTTTGGAGGATGAATTGAAGAAAGAGGAAGGTGAAGACAGTTTAACCCCAGGCTTGAGATTTACAGTAATGTAGAATCAGCTTCCCATCGCTGCCAAAGCACTGAAAAAGAGAAAAAAATACATTACGGTAAATGTTTAATACAAAAGTAAAGCAGAAGAGTGACACTATGGTACAGTTCCAAAAAGACTGTGAAAAAAAAATTATGTTAACTGTTTAATTTAATTTTATATCATTGACCGGTCGAGCAGAGAGAACGGATGTTTCTTCTGTGAATTCTGGTCTTTGCTGTTAATTTAATCAGTGGTTAAGGATTTGGGCATTTCTTACATGGAGGATCCCTCTCATTGCCCCCTCTGCTGGTCAAAGCTCCACATGACCATTTCACTTCTATGTGCTGAGCCCCAAAGGCTCGACAATTACAGAGGTTACTATTCTAATATTTCATTCAGGGCTAAGAGACTGGGCAAGTATGATAAAAACATTAAGTTATACTGTGGTTAAGTCTTCTAAGTATCACTACATTATCTTTTAGAGCCTATATATGTATGTCTCCTATAAAAAGTAATATTTACAGAATGTTTACATTATTGAAAAGTTCTCATTGGTAAATACTAATCATCGGTAATCACTTACTGAATAAAACAAACAATATTTAAATATATGTTGTTGATAAATACACATTGTGTGGATTTTATGACATGGTTAAAGTTTGTGTGTACGGTCCAGTTACTGCCTGTTCAATTCATCAGTGAATTGAACCAAAGGTCAAGAATGGACATCTATGCTCATGTTTTAAGTGGATTCAAAAACAAAGAAGACAAAAGTGACTCATGTTTATCTGCTTTTGGTTTCTCTTTTAAATCGTCATTGTTCAATGGTTTTATGTCTGGAAACACACTTGAATGCCCAGTCACAGGGCATTCAAACCTGTGTTACATGTACTCACATCAAAGAGGACCCCTACGTCTTGATCCGGTGAGGGGGCGAAGGACTGGTTAACATAAATGAACTGGAAGAAAAAAAGCAGATGCAGTTATATGTAAATAATTGAAAGACCTGAAGCACGTTTTCAAAGCCTCTGTCCAAGACATGATTTTGGAAAGTGCACAAACTACATCCTTACCAGTTGTTCACTGCCGTCAAGCTTGAGGAAACGAGAGATGAACTGAGACAGGGACTGTACCGTCCTCCCCCTGTCCATGGTCCACTTCTTTGTTTTCATTATAGGAGTGTCTCCTACTGCCTTTAGCAGCACATCAACTATAAACAAAATGAAGAAAATGAAAAGTGAAAGTGCTGCCAGCGCTATACAGAGTGGTCCGGGCAAATCTAAAACATCAACTGTTCAGGAGGAATTCTAGAGAAGTTGAATCCAGTGACTCATAACCACTATTGCACAAAGGAAAAACAAAAACTGATGTGATGATGATGTGCTTCCAATCAAGAATTAGAGAAACTGCAGAATGACATGCATTAAGGACCATAAAAATGAGCACATCCTTTGGGTGTTTAAACAATTTCTTATTAAGCCTACAGTTGTTTTTCGTGCAATATTCCCTTTTAATCACTTCTGATGTTTATTTCAATTGTCTTAATTTCCTTTTGCGTTCCTGTTTGGTACAATTGTGAACCATATTTTCCATGTATACTTACATTAAACCCTTCTACTTGTTGTAAGTATAAGCTTTGAGATTCACTGTTGACAGAACACTTGGCTTTGTTACCTGCATCAGACCTTTTATGTCTAGACTTTATTTCACCTTTTACTTTAAATATAAATCGTATGACCAAGTAATATCAATAGATCATAGTTAGAAGCCATATATCTGAGCTGTGACAGTTTGACAATTTTAAGCTAACCGGAGTTTGTTAGCTTAGCTTTAATACATTATTGTTTTGTACAAGATGTGTAGTTTGCTATTGACATTAACGTAACACATATGTTTTATGCATTATGAAACTAAATAGCCTCTCTGAAAAGAACGTATCCTATAAGAGCAAAAATATATGTTGCCTTGATAAATATTAGCATTAGCCATTTCCGAAACCGGCAGTACTGTGTTAAAAGCTAAATGTTGATTGGTTAAACAGAAAAGAAGAAGAGTTCCTATTGGCTTAAATCTCTGTCGATCATTTTCCACGTCATACACCCGGAAATGCTTCCTCTCGCACTATCAACAATACTCGTAAACAGACGGTTGTTCTTCGCTTATAGAGTAGATTTTTTTAATGTATTACACTTTCTTACTTTTTTTCTTATCATCGTTTGTCGTCGAGTCGTCTGACGGCGGTTGTGACTCCTCTTTTTGCGTTTCTATTGGGGACTCTGCGTTGTCAGACATCTTCATGTGACTACTTTAGGTTACTCCATGGTTCCCGCCCACCTGAGCTAGCAAAGCGATTCGCGGTGAACAGTAGCTGCTATTGGTTCACGGTAACGTCAATCAACTATACGAGTAATTCTATTGGTCAATACTCTTCCGTGAAGGGCTGTTGAAGTTGTGCGTGCTCCTAGCTACATGCTAGAGTAGTTGTTTTTCATTTTGACACATATTTCTTGATAACGTAAGTGTTCCACTGATATTGTTCCGCTTTAGTGTTATATTGAATGCATTCTTTTACTTGACAGTAAAATAGTTAACGTCACATTTTCTGTTGGTTTCTAATTACACAGGAGGCGTCACCTGGGACGTTGTACTTTAACCTGACAGTTGAACTCTTCACAGTCCTGTTGAACCGGTCACCCACTCTCTCTCTCCTCCTCACAATCGGACCATTCAGACAACAGTAAGTAAAAAAATATATATTGAAGTTCGCTTAATTAAATAACAAAATGACCTAGGATCGCAGTCATCACCATGTTGCTTCAATTGATTTGTGTTAAGCCAGGATGCTAGTTATCTCATTGTTATGAAGACAATGCAACACAATGGAGGGCATATTTCGTACAAGGAAGATAACCTCTTTCCTCCTTTAGTAGACACAAATTGCACCAATACACATTAGAAGTTCCAAATAAAGCTCAAAAGTAGCCACCACATTGATAACATGACATTCAATGCTTATTTCTTCAGGTGTTATTGTTAAAAGCTTCAGAGCTATTTTAATACAATCCCTAACACTACCTCTGGAATCGTCCCTTAAAGTATGTGAACACATTTGTTTCTCTTTTCTGTGACCTTGCTCCTGCAGTGGCACGGGTAGGCCGGCTCTCCACCAAGGATTCAGTGCTGTTGCTGTGTGACATGCAAGAGAAGTTCAGACCCAACATCTTCCAGTTCACCAACATCGTCAGCAATGCGTCCAGATTGCTCCAGGTTGGAAACACTCTGCATCACACCACTGTCTCAGTGTCTTATCAGTCATACCAGTTATCAGCCTCAGACATTAGTTCTTTAAGTATTCCTTATTTCTCCCCCTTTTTCCTCACAGGCCAGTCGCATTCTGGGCATCCCCTCCATTTTGACAGAGCAGTACCCTAAAGGCTTGGGTCCCACAGTACCTGAGCTGGGAGCAGAAGACCTGACCGCTCATGCTAAAACTTCCTTCACCATGATGATAGAGGCGGTGGAGGCGGAGTTGCAGGCCCTGGGGAACCCCAAGCAGGCCATACTGTGTGGAATAGAGGCACACGCCTGTATTGCAGTAAGATCACATCATTGTAGCATCAACATCATAAAACACAACATAAAGACAACTGGGGAGCTTACTTCCAGTGATGAATGCATTGATGTTCACAGTCATGTTGATCCCCTACTCAGTATGTGCTTTTGTTGACGTCAACATTGTTTGTTTTTTTGTCACTGGGCCCAAGAAATGAAAGACTTACTGACACAGCCTCCAACACAATTTCAAAGACAGCTTGAAGTGCATCTGATTGTGTATGTTTGTTGTATATTTATGCTAAAAAATACTAGTTCTTACAGTTACAAATTACCAAAACACTTATGTGACAGATGATAAAGTTATTAAGTAATGTATTTATGTGCCACAGAGCTTCATTAATGAATGAAAGAATTGTGCTTCTTGTCTTCTCCACAGTGCACAACATATGACCTGCTTGAAAAGGGAATAGAGGTTCATATTGTGGCTGATGCTGTCTCAGCCAGAAGGTATCTTGTACTTTTTGTTTTATCTGCTATACAACATCATTATCACCTGCATTGAATATACAGTATATGTGTTCCTGTGTATGTGTGCTTGACTACTTTGGTGTCTCCCTCCACAGCCAGACGGACCGTTTGTTTGCTCTGTCTCGACTGAAGCAGAGCGGCGCTTACCTCACCACCACAGAGGCTGTTCTGCTGCAGCTGGTTCAAGATGCCAGACACCCCAACTTCAAGGAGGTGCTTACTACAGCTGCACTCTTGAGTTACTTTTGTTTGTTTAGACGCGTTTAGTCCTGCAGTATACCCTCCGACTGCTGTCAAAAACACACAGCCTACATACTTTATTACTGTCGACCAGTTACAGGTGACCTTACTAGTTTGAGGTGACACTTCATACTGCAGTGCTGAAACCCAAAGTTGACACTTCATTCAGTTGTAAAGCCGCCATCTTGGCTTCTGATAATGCTGCCAGCATAAGTTATGAAAGTAACACTCGTATATTCTTTATCAACAGATCCAGAAGCTTTTGACCCACCCGTCCCCCGACACCGGCCTCCTCTCCTTCTTCAGCGCTCTGTAGGCAGATCATCACCACCTGTCATTCTTTCCCAGATATACTGTACAGAATTTCACTGCTTCAATAAAGTGACGCTGCTATAAATCTGTACTGTTTCTGTGTTCATGTTTCTGAATCAAACGTGCCTCGTGCCTTGTTTCATAGTATGAGGGTGTCCAGGGTCAAAACGTACAGGTTGTTCCTGTTTATTGATATCCTGGCAAGCACACAGCTGCAGAAACTTCTACTTCAAGCTGTGAGCAGCGGAAGAGGAGGGACCAGCTCCCAGAGGCGGGAGCAGAGAGTGATGTCACAAAGAGGGAGGGGTGAGTGACGTAATTCTGGTAAAGTCTGAAAGGGAGGGGAAGGAGAGAGGGAGAGAAAAAGGAAGCTCTCCGGTAAGTTTTTGTGTATTTATCCAAAGCACAAAGTTTCACAAACCAAAGGTGTGACTGGAGGCCTTGGGTGGGGATCAACATGCTGAAGAGCGAGAGCTGAATCGAAGGATGGACACCAGTTCGTCAGCAGTTGAGCACAGCTGATGACGTCAAATATTTACAGTTTTGAAGGCCTTGGGCCTCGACAGACTATATAAAAAAGGTAAGCAAGTCACTCTTCTTCCCTGGAAAATAGGAAGTGTGGGTGAAATGGCCACTCATAGATGCTGTCACATTCATCCAATGTCTTTGCTTGTGAGTGGATAGTTTCCACAGCAGCACAGTGTCTGAACTTGTTAGGTGGAAGTACAGGAACCTAATGGTTGACAGTGTTGCATTACAGGCAGAGGGGGAATCTACTAAAGCCTTTCTCTGTGTATGCGTGTGTCCAAAGTAAACGGACGTGTTGCTCCAGAGCTTCCTCTCTGGGTCCCTCAGACCCCGGACAGAGAAAAGGAGCGACTATGTCCTCTGAACTGAACTCCAGTCTCACCAGTATTGACTGGCTGCCTCAGCTGGGAATCAGCAGCCTGCGCTCGGGGAAAGAGAGAGGAGGCGGCGAGAGGGACAAGAAAAAAGACAGAGGGAAAGAGAGAGGAGACTTACCCTCTCTACCGGACCCCTCCCATTCCAACTACAAAGGGAAACCCCCCCACAGCTATGCCACTCTCATCGCCATGGCAATAGCAGCTGCACCTGAAGGGAAGTTGAGTTTGAATGACATCTATACTTGGATCAGTGACACGTTTCCCTACTACAGCAGAGCTGGCCGCGGATGGAAAGTAAGTACTAGTTACTAAAGTATAAGTTTAGAGTTCTTGGTTTGGTAATTTGTAAACCAATATTAATATTGTCTGGTGCACGACTGACTTATTACAACACTTTGTGTCCTTAACAGAACTCCATTCGGCACAATCTGTCCCTTAATAAGTGCTTCAGGAAAGTTCCTCGGCCACAGAGTGACCCCGGCAAGGTGAACTACTTTTTATAAACTTTTTATTTTGTGACATTGTAAGCACATACGTGCTGCTTGCATCATGTGAGATGGATTGCTTCAAAGAGAGTAAAGTTGGACACTTGTATTGTATTTGTAGGGTTCCTATTGGACGACAGATGGACCAGCAGAGGTGAATCAAGTGAGGGCACTTAAGCGTCCCTATCCAGAGGAGGATGTATGTGGTTTGATATGACTCACTCATTAACTAACAAACCTATATTCTTCAAGTGCAAAATACCCAGAAGTGTAGAGAAACCACAAAAAGTACATTCTGGCATTTTATCCCCATATTTAAATTTTTACTGCACAACACTCACCTGACTGCTGTAATTATTAGTCTCTTTTAATTCTGATTTTAAACTAAAAACGTGCTATAATGACACTTGACACCAGTTTTCGGTAACAGTTTTTCCTGATAACAATTTACTTTGAAGGGTCAGTTCAACAAGCAAACAGGGTTTGGTTTTACTTTGTCCAGGTTTTGAGAATACATGAGATTTTGTGCATCCAGCGCAGTGAAATGATAAATTAAACTTAATGTGCAGTCAGCAGTTTGAGTAAGAGCTACTTTATATGAAGAAATTGTTAACATAAAAAATGATGGACACACATTTTTGGGGATAAGTCAGCATTCAATTGCATTGCATATAAAAGCATGGCTACATGAAAAACAATATTTCTGTATTTTAATTAATAACAATAATAATAATTTTGGGTGGACCAACACTTCTAAAGTAATGCTTTGCTATTGGATTTTAATACCTTTTCTACCTTTACAAATCGTAACGCTTTGCTGTTCCAGGTTCCTCAAACACCGGCGACACAAGCCGAGCGAAGAGCTCCTCCTCACCAACCGGCCTCCCACACAGACCACCACCTTCTTCACATAGAGCAGCTGGGAGCCCTCCAGCAGCAGCAGCCCCCCCGCACTGCCTCCCTCTCTCCTCCCCCATGCAAGGTAGAGTCATGTTCTCCCCTCTTCATCACAGTGCAGCAGGGCTGCAGCATCTAATCTTGTGTGTTATCTTCACAGCAAGCGTCCCCCTACATGCCGAGCTCCGTGTCCACTCCCCCCGTCCATCATCAATCTGTCTCTCCTTCGGCTGGGTTCAAACCCGCTGCCTCCACGTATTCCATCAACTCCTTCCCACCTCGCCATCCATCCGGCCCCACTTTTTCTATTCCCGCTGCCTCTGCTACACCTCTGTCTGCTGCCAACATGTGCTCTCCAGCGGCTCCCTCTTTCTCCGACGCCACTCTGTCCTTTCCTAATTCAGTATCTGTTCCCACTTTCTCCTGCGCTCCTAACTCGGTGCCTGTGTCTGTTTGCACTGGGACAGGACCGACTCTTTCGTCTCCGTCTGTTGCTGCCCCTCCTGTTGTCTCTTTAAACCCCTCCACTGATCCTCCACTGCGGTTCACCTTCGATGAGATGAACTTACCGGACTTGTATGCGTCTTTCAAGTCTCTCTTCAAGACCATGCGGGAGAGGGGAGGCTCACAGTGTAAGTACTTTGTGTTTATTAATACGTTATATTAAACACGTGGACGGTTCTTTTATGCTTCTTTTATGCTCTTTCCAGCAGATGCTGCTCCTCTGGCTGTTCTGAACAATGACACTACTCAACTTCACACTCCGACTCTGCTCCCAATGTCTCCTCACAATGCACCATCAGCACCACCCCCAACAGCTGGACACCCTCCTCAGACAGAGCGCATTCCACAATACAGTGAGTCTCATATTAAGCCCAGAAAAGCTTGTATTTGAATTAAAAGCAGCAACACGACACAGGAAATATCACTGCTTTCTAAAGTTGCCTTCCTCCCTTCCACTTTAGCGGTGCCAGCTGACTGGTTCATTAACCCAGATTCTCTGAAGGAGAGCTTCCGCATTGCCAGCAATCTAGACTGGGCAAACATAGACCTCTCTGGTCACCCAGGTCTGTGCTGTTTACCAGAGTCTTGTTCAAAGGGTCGGTTCACAAAATCACATATTCTCTCACCTCTGAGGGCTGTTTGGGTTTTATCTGCTGAGGTTTTGAGATATTTTTTATATGGTTATACAGAACACTCATAAGACTGAATATTAGACTCATGAATACAAGAGCTGAAATGTTAAGTCCATCAGGCAAAATTAAAGAAGTATTTTTCAATCATTGATTAATCATTTTTATAGTAAAAACAGCAAATATTTTCTTCTGAAATCTGAAGATGTTATGCTTTGATTTTGTTTGTGATAGCAAACAGAATATCTTTGGATTATCAACAGATAAAAATGAAGACTATCTTCACAGCTAGATGTCACTTTAACAACATGTTTTGTCATTTGCAGCTAAATTAACAGCTTTTACACACATTTTATGAGCCAGAATGTGCAATTGGTGGCAGATAATGAAATAATAAATAACGTGATTATTGAGATCTTTGCAAAAGGATAGGAATGTTGAGTACAAACATCTGTATTTTTTAAACATTTACCCTTTTTTTGTACTGAAAGGCCCTCACTTTCTGTCACTAGACCTGCTGGAGAGCATGCGGCAGGCGGAGCTCAGCGATTGGGCCCTGGACCCGGCGCTCTTCACCTCCCTCTGCGACTCTCTGAATCGCTTCTTCACTCACAGAGGCATGATCACATCCGGGAATAACTCCCCACTAGCCCTCGGTGCACCTCACTCCTTACAGGTCCCACCGTTCACGTCCAATCCTCCCCCTCCTACCCTCGCCAGCCTCACTCACCCCTCACCCCTCCCTTACTCTCCCATAGTTCACCCCGCCAGTGGAGTGCAGCCGCCCCGGAGGGCTCTGCACATGCAGGGACAGGGCCTTCAGAGACCACAGCCCGCAAACACAGCCGGTAAGACCCAAACCCTCATCTTCAAAAACGGGATTTTAGTTGTTTTTTTTTTACTTTCAGAATGTAAAGGAGAAGTTATTCAAATAGACATCTATTCCTCACTTCCTTTTTGTTGTGTGCTACTTTCGTCAACGTTTCTCTTTCTGTCTCAGCTGGGATGCAGCCTCAGTCTATGACACCACGACAGCGTCCTCCATTAGTGAGTCTGCACAGCAACAGTGATGAGATCCAGGATGACTTTGACTGGGATTCTCTGCTCGGTTGACCCGCGCCGCCTGCGTGGAGAAATGATTACGACAGAAATGTGGCGTCTTCACTAAACTCTATGCGGAGGCTGCATCACTTGGAGCTTCTCAGAGACAGTTTTGGGATCAAGTTGGTCACAAATGACTGAATGCTGTATTACAAGGTGGAAAAAGTTGTACAATTTTTCACCTTTATTCAAATTCATACGCTGTAATAACATTTAGCTTTTCTTCTGCAGGTAATTGGCAGGGTGTTTTTTTTCTGTTGGATGTTAGATTTATAAACATGTTCACAAAAGAAAATAAAGTGTAAAATTATTTGTGTCACATTAACAGAAACAAATAAACATATATATGATTTAGACATTAACTACAGAGCAAGCATGAACCAAGCCAAACACACACACCCTGTGTTTTTGTTTTATTTCATAAATTCCTTTTGATTTTTTTCCATTTTACTTCTCAAATGTGAATGTTCAGTCATCACCACACAAAATTCAACCTTACCCGATAAAAGAGATATTTTTTCTTGTTGATATAAAATAACAAATTCATCAAACTAAATTAAAAGAACAGCATGGAGCATGTCGTCAAGTCCCATTTTTTTTTCCTTCCTTTCATTTGTTGAAACAATTGTCTTTTTTTTCCTCCTCCCTGAAGGAACGAGAGATGAAACAAGTGGACAGTGGTGCTCTGGGACACCTGGACACCAGGGATCCCATTTGAAATGTGATTGGAAAAAACTAATGCTTCCGATTAACGAAACTAAAATATTGTGAAACATGATTGGCAGAGAAATGTGTGACCCTTGTGATACCTCATTTGAAATCCCAACATTACATAGTATTTATACAAGTGACAATTTTTAAAAACAAAAATAATGGATGTCATTTCTTCCTTTCTGAGTCACTGAAATAAGGTCTGACACAGGAGAAAATTGGAGACATATATTGATAGATTTACACAGAAACAGGCATTTGCACTATTGCATTCTCACAAATAAGCATTCATATTCTCATTCGCACATTGCTGCAAACACACATTCAACAAACACACGTCAGAGCTCTCTTTTCAGTTTTCTACAATAATAATAATAATAAAAAAAAAATAAGCATTTGATTTAAATGGCATCGTGTGATTTTCCTTGTTTATTTGTTCCCAAAAAAAATTTGGAAAAAAATAAATTAATTTCAACATTAAATTAAATTAAAAGTGAAATAGCTGAAACCATTTGACCACATGGTGCCTGAAATGTTAATGCAGGTTTTTCAGTCCGTCTGGAGTCAAAATGATCCTTCATGCACTCGCTTCATTTCAGTGATACAGTGTTCGTCTTCATTCCAGAAGCAGAGAAGAGGAAGAGGCGGGTACAGTTTCTCTGTTCAGTTTGTTAGTGGCTATGTCCCGTCTCCCTCCACCTCTCTCTCAGTGCAGTAATATTACAACAGAGTAGAGTGACACTATTAAAGAAGCCTCCTGCTCTCACGGACTTACCTTCATCTCAAGATAGGACTGAAACAAACACGACATGAAGATACGATACAGAACAGGATTAAAACAAAATAAATAGACTTCAATTTCCCGCCCACAAACAACCCATACTGAAATGAAAGGAACGAAATGTGGTAAATTATTCTGAAATAAAATAGTGCTTTTTAAGGAAAAGATAAACTGAATTTTTTCTTTTTTCTTTAAATATAGAGATGTACACATTTTTTTCTTTTTGGACACAAATTGTGTTGAGGGGGGTGAATGAGGGGGGCAGCAGGTACGACAGAGGAGGTTGAAACGGGTGAGCAGAGTAGTGGTGACACTTCCTCAAAGGAGAAAGGGGTTGGTGCTCGCTCCCGTCGTTCCTCCACCTCCCATCACTCCTGTTCCAGTGGGCCCACCCAAAATCAGCTGAGGAGGTGCTGCGGGCCCCAACAGAGCCGAGCCTGGGGGGGCCATTGGCGAGAGCCCGCTGTAGGGCATACCCATGGGGCTGGACTGCATCATGCCCAGGCCCATTCCCCCCATACCCACACTCATTGGCCCCAGGCCCATTCCTGGTTGCACCATGCCCAGCATGGGATTGGGAGGCACGGGACTGGAGCGGAGGCCGCTCAGGCCAAGTGATGAGGGCTGAGGTGAGATGGAGGTCATGGGTGGAGCCACGCCGAAAGGGTTGGAGGAGGCCGGTGTTGGAGAAACCCCCCGACTGGAAATGGTGCTGCCTGGAGTCACTGCCATGCCAGGAGCAGGAGATGAGCCTGAGAGTCAGAGGTGACAGTTAGGCAACACAAAAGAGTCTTTTGATATCTGCCAGTACATTATGTTAAACAGATTTTATTCATTTTATCTCTCTCCATCAATGTTTTCAGATCTGGAAACAACAACATGTCGGTTAATTGAAACTGAAAATGAATGAATCAGAAAATATTCTGATAATCAAAATGCTAAAAACATTCATTAGTTTCCGCTTCTAAAGTGTGAATATTTATGCGACTGTAAGCTGAATATGACTGTAGGAGCCATGAATGTGATTTGTGTTTGAGTGAAATATGCCTCTGAGCACTCGTGGTGTATGGTACAGGCCGAGGACATGAATTTTCACTTTCCTGCGGCTCCAGAAAACATGAGTATAGTTTCTCTCCAACATTCTTGTTGTCTGTTAATCGTTTGCTTTTGATTTGGGGTGTTCGGAAGAACCCCGTTTGTTTTCGCCAAACTCTCTCCATACTTGTGAGTTATTTGCAGTGCATTGTGGGACGAGACATTTAATTAGATCTTCACCACAGCTGTCACTAACCTGTGTTCTGGAGGAAGGGGTTATGTGCAGAAGAGGACGAGATGATGGAAGGAGGCGGCGGCTGTTTGGGTTTGGGTTTAGACGACAACAGGGAATCCAGATCCACCAGCGCTGCGTTGGGGCCGAGGAAGGACTCGGGAGTCTTACGAACAGGAAGTGAAGGACCAAGAGATGAGAGGTCAAAGGGCACCGGTGAGCCTGTGCTGTCATAGCCTGTTGCTGGGGACCCTCGTCGCTCTGGGTCTCCTGAGGAGGAAGAGGAGGGTGAATAGAAACAGTAAATCATAATACAAAAAAACACAATATAGAACTGCATTACAACAGATACTAGACGAGGATGAAATGTAGGACAAGACAACTGTTGTGTACATGCAATTGGAAATTTGTGTGCGATGTAAAATCCCTTTTTTTTTTTTTTTTTAAAGTGTGTACCAGTACCTCAGTGTTTGTGGGTCTGTGTAGCTTTAAGTGTGAATGTACCTGTGCCATTTGTGTGTTTGGCGGTGCCACTCCAGATGTCAGAGGTGACAGGGTCAGAGACAAGGCCAGGCCCGTCCCTTGCCCAGGGGTCTACTGGCCCCCCCGAGGAGGACGTGCTGGGTGGCACTGGGGGACCCCAGGGGTCGGCACTGGGGGGGGTCACAGCTACAGGGGAGGGGAGGAGGAGACGCAGGGGAAGGGGAGGGTTAACACCACACCGTACATTTACAATCCACAACAAAGTAGGGAGCTGGGCTGGGTTCCAACACTGGTGTTTCTCTCCTTGACCTCTGCGGTCCCACTAACTCGACAAGGACAGGTGAGAGCAGATTGTTCTGTAGCTGTCCACCATGTTACTTTCACCCACTCAATATCTGAAGCTCAGTGGAGGTAAAGGAGAGACGATAAGCAGCTACCCCATTCATGAAAAAGGCACAAAAGGGTGAGAGAAGAGACCGCTCTGGTTGAGACACAGCCAGTCAGTCCTGAGTAGAAACAAGAGGATACAAATCCCTGCTTTAGACACAGAGGGAGAATGGATTTAGCATGCTTGCTTTCCTCGTCACAAACTGAAAGCATGCGAGTGTGTAAGATACGACAGCATGGTGACATGAGAGAAAATGGAACATGACAGGAAATGGAACGGTGGCGTGAAGAGGAGTAAAGGTCGAGAGGTCTTCACATCCTCTTTGATCATCAGAGCTGGACACACTTCTGCTTTGATTCCCACAAACCTGCCCGGCTACAGGGTTGATGTGCGACCAGTGTTGTTGTAGCTGCTTACCCGAGCTGCCCCAGGGGTCGACGTTGTTAACCCGGTTGGACGTCTCTCCCCAGGGGTCCGGGGGAGGGGCTATAGTGGGTGGGGCTCCCCCACCCCAGGGGTCAGAACTTGTAGGAGATGTGGGTGACGCTACGCCCCACGGGTCTGCGGGGGCTGCGCCCCACGGACCTGAGGCAGCAGGGGCAGGAACTGTCGGGGGAGGCGAAGGGCCGGCAGAGCACACAGTGGCGGCGGCAGCGGCACCGGAGGCCCCCCAGGGGTCTGCGGCACTCAGTTCCATCAGAGCCCCCTGCAAAAGAGAACATATTATGGACTAATGTTCCTACAGCGGTATTTAGGAAATTCACAAATCAGAGAATTAGAAGGAGACAGAGAATTGCAGACCAGACATGCATACTTCAAATAGATACTAAAAGAAATAAGACTGAACTGCTGACAATACATTCTTGGTTCCTTGTCTGTGCAGTGTCAATATTGACAAAACTACCACAAGAGTTCTATGATTTAGTTCTGCAGTATGTAGACATGTATACAGTCACAAACACTCATTTTTAAGGTTTGAGGGTAATCTGCAATCAGCACAGAGACATTTGTTTCTGCAGATATTTCAAGCCCTAGATTGAGACTGAACTAAGCTAGTTTATCATGCCAGTTCAAGAATCTTAAAGTTTGACCAAATTTAAAACAAAAAGTTGAAATCAGTATCAAACCCCAAAAAGGATACAGGCAATCAGAATATACCTCACCCGTTGGGCAGGATAGTTAAATGAGGACAGCTTTTACACATTGACGAGTGATTGTCATATCTTCCACATTGGCAATGTCTGTAACACGGATGGTACGTGTGCTCCTTTATCTATTCAACTGAACATGCTGTCGTTATGAATATTACCACTGCCATTATTATTATTCCACACTTACCTCCTCAGGCTTAGCTTTCGCCCTCCTGCTCTCCTCGAGGGCCATCTGCAGTCTCAGATCATCACCTCTACGCAGTCGCTCTTCCTGCCAATCAGACATACTGATGTCAGCAACCTGAGACACACAACCTCGGAAAGCACACCACAGGTACAGATTTAGGATCAGTTTACAACTCCACGATTTAAGTCTGAATTGTTGGGAGGGGAAACTGAAAACCCGATCTTCAAATCATCGTCTTCAGTCAACGGAAAATGAAGAGAAATCAACCAATCACGGCATTATTTATGAGTTTGAAATTTTCAGTTTTCCACAAAACATGATCAAATCAGATGATGCTCGCTTCACAAAGAAAATAAGCTGATCCAGAACTGCGGTGACATGGCTACCCAAAATAAAACTGAGCTGTAGAAGTGTTGTGGCGAGGTTTAGACATGGATAGGATCTGAACCATCACAAACTGAATACTGAGGTTTAAATGCAGTTTCAACCAACAGCACCACTGTAGGGGCGGGGACAGCTACAAAGCAGCTGTGCTTAGTTCACTTGCTGACATGCTATTGGCTGATTTTAATCTGTTTGTGCTCCTCGTGGTTCACTTGCTCATAATGCTCGATTAGGAAAATGTAACAGTCACTTAGCTAAACCCAGTCGAGCACAGAAAGTTACAATAAAGAAAAGGAGTGGAATTGAATCCATCAAAAGATAAAGGCTTCTATTACCTCTTGCAGATCCCCCCAGGACATCCCTACCAAATACCACCGTTTAGCCTACCTCTCATCAGGACTATGAAAACAGCAAAACACTGACTTATCCATGAGGAGACGGCCATCTCTGCTACAGAAATCAAGTCTTACGCATCGTGCCACTCAGGAACAATAACAATGGCATCAATCTTTAAGTGGTGGAGTATGTGCAGGAGTAGTTGATCACTTGCATACAACAGGCTAACACGGTTTGCACTCGGTGAACCCGGTACGAGGAGGTGACAACAGCAGGAGACGGACGGGTGGACGGAAAGAGTGCATGTTCAAATCAAGACTACAGTTGAATGCATGCTATCAGAGAGGAGGACAGGAAGCAAGGAAGAATCAATGCTTACAAACCAAGCAGTGTGGAATTTAGTCAATTAGGATAAATATTTGCCAATGCCATGCAATCTCAGTTATGCAATTAGCGTTAATCAATTCTTCGGGTGTTCACTTTCGACATGGATTTGATTGATGTTTTACGAGTGAAAACTCCATCATGGAAAGTGACACTACACCAAACTAAATGATCTCAAACAAGTTACTGCAGTCTGATGCAAATTTGTATCTTGAAGGGAGATGACACATGACAAATATGAGCGTAGATTAATTGATTGATCGATGCTTGATGTGTGTTTGAGAAATTCCAATTGACAGAAAGACAGATAGTTGATGACTGGATGGCCAGTCAGCAGGGCACACTCTCTGCCCCTGACCTTTTGTTGCATCTCTTTGCTGAGTGTGATTGCATAGCTGAACTCTGCGTCCTCCAGAGGGTCCTTGCTAGTCTGGGGGAGGTCAGGCATGACACGGTGAGAGCAAAGCTAGATGTATGTTGAGAATAATATCAGTAACATCCCTCCGTGTACACAGGCGGTCCCACATGACTGTACAAACTGCAAACTTAGTTGTAGTTAGTTACAGTTATGCTTTAAAGCTTATCTTAGGAGAGCATTAATGCAGCTGTGCTTGTCTTGAATATGCTGCTTTGTTTTACCTGCTCTGCCTCCTCTTTACTCATGGCTAAGGCCAGCTGGAGCTGCAGGTCTTCCTCCCCGGTGCTCTGTGGCCAGGCCTGCTCAGGGTCTGCCCCTCCAGAGTGGGAGCCCACTGACAGGCTGCCCCCCAGGCTGGGTGCTGAGGGAGCTGAGGAGGCTGGGGCAGAAACAAAAAAAAGCATATGCGCGGATGAGAGCTTGTATTAGGCTATCAGCCACTTGGAGCTAATGGCCTTTTATGCCACTGTGAGCCCACCTTTCTCTCAGGGTGTAATAATGTAACTTTGGGCATTGGTTAAATCTTTTAAAACATCTATTTTAAGTACCAATCTCACCGCTGGAGGTCTGTGCCATCTTCTCTTTGGTTTTGAGGGCGTGGATCCTCTCCTCTCTTAGTCTCTCTTCATCTTTCAGCAGCGTAACCAGCTGTTTGGCTTTCTCTCGCACGTTCACCCCCTGAAAAAAGACAGGTAGCGGCACACAATCACATGCAGCAGTTTTTTTAAAAGTAAATATGAAATTAACAGACATAATGAATTTAAATTACTAATGCTGTTTTTACCCTGCACGCCTTATTGTTAGTGTAACAGTTTGTTAACAACCGATAAAAGCTTTACCGACCGGCTTTGTTTGCACAACAAGTCATAAACTCATTGTAAAATGTCCTTGAATGACTCAGAAGTGGCATGTTTGACAAAGCGCGCCTGCATTCCACAAAAGTGGACCTTACTCTCTAATCACTTTCACTTTTTCTGTGCAGCTTTCTGGACATGGGTGTGTTTTTTGTACCTGGTCTTTGCCGTCCCTGTCTATGAACTGAAAGTCCTTGAGCGTCTGGACTGCGTATATGTTCTCTCGGCACTGTTGGGCAACACGTTCTGAACCGGTCTTGATCAGGTACTCCATAAGAGTCATAGCCTGGTGGGAATATAGATCACAACCAATGACCAACTGTAGAAAAGGTCTGGATAATCAAGTAGTAGAAATGCAAATATTAAAGCAGTTTGTGGGCTGTTAGATTCCACATCCATCTCATTTCCTACACCTATACATTAAACACTCAATAGATTTGTCTGTAGTTGGCAGTAAAGCGACATTTAAGATACTTCTGGAGCATCATCGTCGTCATCCTGCATCCTCAGCGACGGGTGAAGTGTTGCACAACATTTATTCCCAACTTCAAACACAAACCTTGTACACGTGTCTCCAGTTCTTGCCGTGGTCATTGAGGCGCTTCCACACCATGCTCATGATTTCCGAGAAGGCCACAACATTGTATGTCAGATCAGCGATCTCTGACATCAGAGAGCTGCTGGGGCCCCACGGGTCATTGGATGTCGCCTCTCTAACCTGGACGACAACACGGGGAAGGGACAAACTTCAAATCATCCTCCATCCAACCTGTCTGTGATGAGAATAATTTCGGGCCGATACTTTGTGACATTTGAAATGGTCCGCGATGTTCTGAGTAGCCATGCAAACTCAATAATGACACGAGCTGGAGAGAGAGGCAACCCTAATGAACAGATAATGAGTCGATTTAGCTCATTATGTTTAACCAGGGGAAAGAGTGAGGAGGTGGCTTCCAATTAATATTAGATTATCAGCAGCTACGTTGTGTCATACAGTACGTGCTAAGCAGATATGTGGGCTACATTTAAGCCATATGGGGTGTGTGGGTGTAAGAAAAGAAAAAAAGGAGAAGAAGAAGAAAAGCCAGATAAGCAGAAGGAAACAACCTTGATTTCAGCCTCTGAATAGTTGTGGACGATGTTCTTTACTTGTCGCCGTAGCGATGAGGTCGACATGGCAACGGGCTGGCCGTCGGTTTCAGTTGCAATCTGAACAGAAGAAGAAGGGTCGTAAAATATAGTTAGGGCAAAACAAACAGCGACAAAAGACACAGAACATTGGTATTTTAAACAAAGACAAAATGAAAAAAAAAACTCTAAAAAGAGTCAAAACGACCAAGAAGAAGTGCATTAAGACAAAAAGTTCAAAAGACGAGAAGATGTATGCAAGTGAAAGAGCCTGGATGAGAGACCTTGAGAAGAACAATCAGTGTGAAAGAGATCATTGTGAAATGTGACTGCTGGTTTGAACAGGGGAAGAGAGACGGCGTCACAAACACCTGTTACACAAGAACGATGCAGAATACGGGTCGCTCCTCTCGGTGTCTTGTGGTTTTCTGGCTTGTGTGCCACTCATTCATGGAGTGCTAGTTCTCAGTTTGTCTGTTTCTTCCAGTGGCAACATTGGGTCCCAAAACCCTCAGGCACAGGGAGATGAAAACTATGGAGCAAGATTGAGATGAACATCAACAAAGAACCCCGAAACACACTGAAAGATCACTGCTAAATCACAACAAATAGACAAGAACAGGCTCAAACTTAATACTAGGTCTAATTCTAACACAAGCATTAGACAATAAGGACAAAGCAGATAGTCAGCAACAAAATCACATGACCTGTTGCTGATCCACATGCTTAATAGTCTCAGATACAACATATTAGTTATATACTTCATCTTACTTATCAAAGTCAAGTCATGAAGCCCTTTTTATTCTCTTAAGAATAAGAGTTAAGACTCTTCTTGAACTAATAATAATTGTGTTGCTTCTCATACTTCACAAAATAACTATAATGTCACAGCGGGATTCACAAGGAGCAGCATGTTTTAGGAATAAGATATAAACATGGATCCATTTACTTCATTTCAGATGATAAAATTCCTTATAATTAGATTGCTAACACATCTTGAACTCATATGATCTGGCTGTAGCATCCAGTTGATTGAGAGTATACATAGAATTAATTACTAGAACACTCCAACAGTGTGGATAAAGACACGGGTCACAACAGTACAGACTTTTTATGCCAATAGATATTATGCAAATATGAACTTCATAAGACAATACGTGCAAACGCATGTCAGAACATACAGTTCAAGCTCCCGTTACTCCTACATTACTTCTATTAGCTTTCAACTAGAGGTTGTGTGTAGAGCGAGAATGTTATAAGCAAAAACTGGATGATAAACAAGTGGGGAAAGAAACATTGTCTTGTGCAATGAACGATGGGTTCTGGTAGCAGGATCTGAATGTGGCATTAACATCATGGAGTCCTGTGTGCTGCTGGTAGTGGTGTCACGGCATGCGGATGAACGATTTCGTGGCACAATATTGGATCCCTCCGCGAGCATTGTTTGTATTTGATTGCTTACACAGCAGGCTTACTCATTGCTGCTGACCACATGCATCCTTTCACTGACAACAATTTGAATTTTCTCACCAAAATAAAGGTTTAAAATTCTTTTAAAACTTGAACGAGTTCATTATGGTCATAGCAATGTAAAAAGCAACGTACTTTATACCCGTTTCTCATAGATTTAAATACACTCTAACTTACTTTATGCCCGTGTACTGTTTTCAATTTCAAAAAGTAAATTAATTTAATAACAAGAATCCAAATGTTTAGAGAATCTATGCATTTGGAAATTACTGTCGGTTCAGTTTGTAAATATATTTTGGTAAACCAGACATATGACAAATAGGCTATACTAAGACAACTGTGCTGTATACTTTTAAAGTGTTTTAAAGAAACTCGACATATACAGCATAGCAAGTCAGTGTTTGGATTTGTAGGTCTGACAAATAGGAGACCGTGTTGCATAACTGAACATAAGGCAACTATTGCAAAAGTCAGTCCAGAGACTCCTGGAGCTCTGTATCAAAGTTCAGACACATCAACTAATCTTTGATAAAGGAACATACTGTACCCTTTGTATCTCAGGTTGTGTCAAACATCTCCACAATCTGTGACAAACATCAGGTGGTTAAATTAACGAATTTCAATTTCTGCTGCTCTGAAACACCTGAGGGACAAAAAGTACACAATCACTTTATGGTGTAGTGTGACTGACAGAGGCCTCACTTAGATCAGCAGACAGCTAACTAGATTATCAAGTACCAAGAAATCACAGACACGCCTGTGTTATAATGTGTAGCTTTGCATAGACAAGCAACAAGGCTAAGAGTTGTCACTAAAGCTAAGCTAACTTATCCCCCCTATCACTTGCATGCACTTGATGTTAAACAGCCCCACGAAGAAGTTACCCATGCCCTGTTCGCACAAACAGATAACGTTAACAATCGACAACAACCGTTAGCGTTCCATGTCACACCCAACGTTGCCAAGTTAGCTAACGTAATATAACATTAAGAAATCAGTCAACTGACGTTATGCTAGCTAACTAACAACCCGGTAACGTACGTTGGGTGTCACACACACACAGAACCAATGGGTACCCTGACATTATACACAGCTGTCAGAAAATGTGGATGCGGAAAGACAAGTGTTTACGAGCAATTACTAAAGCTAATTAGCCATCAAACGTTATCATCTGATACTGTTAGCTTACATTAGCCACTTAGCAGTAGAACTCTCCCATTCTCACATAAGCTAATCGAAACAGTTTGCTAGCACTTTGACACCAAAGGTTTGGAGTAAAGTCTGGGTAAAGTATGAAGAGACGTACAGGAGGGTGTAGCTGGGTACGAACTGGCAGACAAACTAACGTCATTAAATCTAATATTCTCGTCACAACATCGAATCACACCTATTATAAACAGACGTTAAGGTGTATCTGCCAGCTTGACTGGTAAAATAAATCACTTGCTGCTCTCTTGTTGCTGCTAGAAAAGATTAGCTAGCAAGCTAGCAGACAGCTAGCTAGCTCCTGCTGGTTAGTTCGCACCAGGACTGCTAAACTGTACACGCTATAACAAGGACACGTCCTGCTTTAGGACAGAGTTGGATGTACACATTTAAATCAAAAGCCAAAATGTCAAGAAATACTGACGCCACACCACAATAAAAAATCCAATCAAATGTGTACTGACCCTGTTGTAGCTTGACTGTACGAGGAGATGGCCGAATTTCCGCTTCCGTTCTCGACTACAGGAAAGACCGCACCCCCTGTAGCTTTGTTTTGCTGTGATGGTAGTAAAAATACTCATGAATAATTAATGACCAATTTTTAACAGTCAAAATTTAAAAAGTTCAAAAATTTAAATATGTACAAAACGACGTTTTGTTAAAGGTTGAAGCCTTCAAAAGAGAGAGGGGATGCAACGTTTGATTGATTATCTGGCCTAAATTCCTTATTTCATCCAAATCCACCCACTGTCTATGTAAGGGGAAGACATCACACCCTCGTTCACGTTCTTGAGTATTTTTTTAATAGTTTAAATTGTTAATTTTTGTGTACTTTCATAAAGGCCTATCAGAGGTAAAATGACTGACCTTAATTGGGCCTATAAGAGACATCATTGAGTGTTGAGATTTTTTATAGTTTGAAAAACAAAACAAACATTATTTCTGTCTCAATTAATTCATTCTTGACTATTAATTTGTGATAATATATTAAAAGCCTAAAATTGCCCTTCCCTTATTCTGATTTAGTAGACATAACTCATTGCCCGTGGTTCATTATGATATAGGTTTTTAAATCTAAACTTTAGATATTGTTAAAATGGTGCCCGAAGTCAAAATGAAACATTATCACTATTGTCGCCATCATTATTGCCCTCGTTAAAATGTGTGTAAGTTATATGCCAGCTGTACTTCAACTGTCCTTTGAGTGAGCATACAGCTTTAAAATCATCCTTTCACACACACGGCTGTTTCTTGAATTCATGTTTGCCATTCAGGCAATGGAGCTGTAAGTTTCACACATTGTCTTTGCACAAATAGTTATAAACACATCATGTTTATTCAGTCAGTATGACTGCTCATCAAACAAAAGCCTTTTTTTTGGAGACTCATAAGCAGGCTGATTGATTATCCTCAGTGGTTTGAAACTAATCTGCAACCGGTAAAATCATATTGAGTCATACAAAACTGAGCAACATGTATTTCACCTTTAAGTTCAATCTTACGCAGCCTTGATTAAATTAAGACCAACCTCGATCCAAAATCACTTTCTGAACTTCATTAATAGGGCATGACACTGTGTGTGGTTTCTCCTCAGTAATGTAATAGCACACACCGTCCACAAAGAGGCATCGTTGAACTAATTCTAACGTCAAGTGAAACCAGAACAACGTCCCTCAGAGTTGCCTTTTAAGTGGATCCATAAATATAACATGGTAAGCCCCATAGATCAGAACAACACAGTAACAGCTGGGGTGCATGTGTGTTACAAGCTCCCCTTTTATCTTCCAACTCTTTATCCTTTTATCTTTGCCTTCTCTCCAGGGATGAGGGGACTGAAGGAATCATTGCAGCATGACTCAAGCAAACTATATAACTGCAAGGCACTGTTGATCTGCTTTGGAAACACTAATCTCATGAAGACAAACAAACAAATGCAGGTGATAAGAACAGGCATAAAAGCTATTTTGACATGTGTTGCTCCACTGTTATGTCAGAGAGAAACTTTATATTTCCTTTATGTTCACTGCCCTGTTCTGCAGTGTAATATCAAATCAAAAATCTAAAATTCCATGTAAATCTATGAATACATATGTTATTCGAATCATTCAGCTCATCCGTTTGTGGATGTAAGTGAGATTCATTAGTTTGCCTCACGGTGAAAATTGGATGCACATATTAGCGAAACAGAATGATTCCCAAATGAACTAATGAGACCACCTTAAGAAACTAATGTAATACAGCAGTCAAATCTGGTCCAGATGGTGCTCATAGATCTTTGTGCTTCTGTATCTGCAGCTTTACTTTAACATTTTAACCAAAACATGACCCACAGCATGCTGTTCCTCAAAAGTGTGCTTTTTATATGTCATGTTGTCTTCACTGAGGATGATTGAAAGATTTGGGGTTGGATCTAATCATTGTACCATGACATTGTTATTTATAGGAGATGTCATGAATTGCATAAGAAGAAAAACACTATATAGTTATTATAAAACCAATTCTCAGAGTTTGAACTCTATGAGATTTTTTTTTTCCAAATTATGTTATTTCTTTTATTGCACTGGTCTCACAACACCTACCAGGAAATTGAAAGATTACGTTACCTGTACAACTAAAGTAGTAATATACTTAGTAAATGGCTAACAATTAGGATTTTCTAAAGTTATATATTATGTCAATTTATGTCTAGAAAAAACAGAGGAAAAAATCTTGCAGTCTTCTCTCAGTTAATATATCATGTGTGTTGTACTAGCACACTGTATATCTAAAGTGCAAGAGTTGAAAGAGAAGACCATCTCATCTGTCCAGTAAGCAAAAACAATTTCCTTTCTTAGAACTCAAAATAACTCAAAAATACGAACGTGCAACCAAATAGCAAAGACGTAGATTATGTAACTTGACAGTAACTGTCAACGAAGCTGTCCTCAGCGTGTGCTCTTGTGCATGTGTGCAAGACTCCACATTCATTCATGTGCTACATTCATGTACCATATGATTGTATGCATCTAAGCTTGAATGTGTTTCAGGCCCTGCAATTGTGAATGAAAGCGACACTCTCTTGGCAGCAACTTTATTGAAAGTGATGAAAGTTAAGTCCTGGTGGTGGTGAGGTTGTCATAGCAGGGGCCAAAGGACCCTATGGTGCGAGCACAAACATGGAAGTACACGTTGGTCACGGCCAGCCACATGACCACAGCAGGGGTAGTAACCTGAGCGGGGACCCGCCGTCGTGATGGCAGCCAATGTTTGTGTTACATAACAAACAGCCATTGAGCCAGTGGAAAGAATAGTCCTGTAGTACCAAGGGGAATCTATCTGAGTGGACAGAAAGAGGAGGAGGGTGTCGAGGCTATGGGAGCTGGAGATGAGGCCTGACCTGCAGCTGTAGAAAACAGAGCTGGCATGTAGACCGCATAACACAGCACAGAGGTGTTTTTGCAAGGCATGGTTTCAGCTGTTAACTGTTAAGTGTGTGATAGTGGGCAATAGTATGCACTTGGAAAGAGATAAAGCAAGGTGGGTTTTATGACAAGAGAGTTCAAGATGAGGGGAAATTGTTGCCTGATGATGGAAAAAAAATAGCACATAAAAACCTTGAAGATGTTCTTCATGTAGACTTAAAAGAATAGAGGATGTCGTTGGGAAATTAAATAAACATCCTCTTGCAGAGTTAGACTATAGTACAGGAGGAAAGAAAAGTGATATTGGACAATAAAGTGGCATGCTTAACTGTACCCAGTAATCTCAGTAACATTTAGGGATCACGGGTACAGCCTTTTGGCCTATTCCGATCGTTCCAGCATACCTTTTGATTAAATGAGAGATCCTACACTGTGTGGGGAATTCCTGACTCAGACTGGCTGAGAGGGTGAGAAAGAGTGAGAGACATGGAAAGAGGAGGAGGAGGAGGGTGTATTTGGATTTGCAGAAAGTGAGTGACAGTTGAGGAGAGGGGAGGAAGAAGAGCGACGGGTTAATGTGGTCAGGCTGACTGACAGTTTGGAAATGGTGGTACATTAACACTGCTGTGTAGTTGGAGGGAGGCGGGGGTAAGGGGGGCACATGGCAGAGAGAGAGAGGTTTGAAATGCCTTGTAGCTGGTTCACGCGTATTTGCCAGCATAACAGGAGCGTGGCCGAGATAGAGAGAGCTGGCACAAGAGAAGGAAAAGAGAGGGAGGGAGTCCAGTGTGTGTGTGTGTGTCTCCTGGGGAGAAGCATAGTCAATACCCAGGCCTCCTGCAAACATCTATAAGCCTCCTTTATAAAGCTGCTGTGCTTCTGAAAGGACCCACGGAGCAAAGAGGAAAATATCGGCTTCAATTCCAGTTTAATTATCAGCCTAGCAGAGGGCACACAGTTGAGCTCCAGCACAGAACAGTATTAGCTAGTTGCAGTGGCAGCAGCTTGCCAGGAGTTTAAGTCTTTAGATGCTGAAAAGAGTCGAGAGAAAGTGAGCAGAGATCAACCAACTGAACAGAAAATGATGGTAAGTATTGCACTTTATTCCTGTGAGCGTGAATCTAGCTGCAAAATATTTCATGCACACCTATATGACAAGTTCATAAAATCATCATAGTGTGCCGCAAAAAATCAAACAAATACAATGGCAACTAAAGCATGCAATTATTTCCTGTGTGTGCAAACCGTTGGCGTTTTATGTATTATATTACAAGTGTGTATTTTTGCAGCTATATGATGAGATGACATGCAGCAATGGCACAAATGCATTGCAAAATTACTGTGAGGCTGCAAAGGTTTGATATATACAATGTCGTTGAGAGTATTTTCAGCTTGTAATGTTGAGCACTTTTACTGGACTTCAAATTTGTTAATGGCTTTAGCTCATGCAGAGCCCCTTTTAAAATCTCAGATCTTGATACCAAGGGCCATTAACTAATAGGGTTTGATAAATAATCACCTCAGTTCACAAGGACACAGCAAATACCAGGATGCACCTGGTGCAGCAAATGTTTTGGATGCGTCTGTGACGGTTAATGTATCAGAGCCTCCAAACATAATAAACTGCATTCATTTTAAATGTGTCATGAGAGGAATGAAGAGCTGACGAAGAATGTAATAATGTGATAACCCTGACAAGTGTTAACAACTCTGTAAACGAAACCCAACTGAGATTTGAATTTAGGAATTTAACACTGTGCTTTGAGTTCAAAACTGTGAAGATGAATGGACATAAACATGGCTATATTTTATATATCTTATAACTTATCACTATAATTCAACTTCTGCACTATTTTATGTCTATAGTGCCATTTTTACTTGTGAGTTTTTCTTTTTATATATATTTATATATATATTTAAATGAGCATTGTTGGAGGGAGCCTGAGATCTAAGATTTCCATTGCCAACAACTGCTTCTCTGTTATTGTTTATATGACAATACAGAATGAAAAAGTAATATTCTATTTTTCCATGTTAGCAGTTAAATTAAAGTGCATTTAAGTTTATGCGTTACTTTTACCATAAGGCTACCTACAGAGAAGTCATGTTTGGAAATTTGACTCTCTTTGCATTTGAAAATTGTCTCAAATGTCTTATTGGTGCACAGATACAGCTACATCCCTCTATACAACATTGATCCTCAAGCGGCCCATCATTGGCTCTGTGCCAAGCAGCACTCTCAGACTGGTTGAAAACTGCAGTCTTATTTATGGCTGCACATCAGATCCATTTGTTTGTGGAGCAGTTAACTCATAAATGAGATCCAGTTTCGAAGCGGCTGTCATATATACTGTATAAATAACTCATATAAAACGTAGTCATATGGCACCATTTGATCTCGTACCACCATCAGATATATGCTCATAATCATCTTAATCCAAATCAGAAAGACTCATTGATATTACTGCAATAATCACCAGAAATGCTACATTTGTTTGCAGAGACAGAGAAACAGGCGTCATTTAATCAAAATGAATATCGGTTGACCACCAAGCTCAGTTAAACAACATGTGGAAGGTCAAAAGTAAAAATATGTTCTCGCTTTATCTTTTGTGTTGAGCTGTGTGCGGTAACTGTTCACAGCCTTCCTAATTTGCGCGAGTATGTGGTGGGGGATGTACTTCAAAGAAAGTCATCGTGAATGTGAATGATGGTGGAAACTGAGTGACAGCGCCAAATGTTCCGATCGCCCTGATAAGACATCAGGTTGATGACGTCTGAAGTTTATCCCCTCTATAGGACAATGGAGATCATGTCGGATCTGCAGAAAGTGACAACATAACAAAATAAATGTTCCACTAATTTCTGCTGGGATGGCATGTGGATGGTTATTTAACTCTGATTATGCAAGCAAAGAACTTAAAGAAAACAACAAAGCTCACGAGAATACTATTAGTGACATATTATTATTGTAACCAATGACATATTTGAGATTTATAGTTGTAGAAGGTTCAGGTGACAGGTTCAGGCTTCATTCTGTCAAGCAGTGGATCTTCTTTCTCTTTGACGCCACTGAACCAATCATCAGTATCATGAATATGGATTTGTTTGTGCGTGTGTCCAGGCTGCAGCAGCTCAGGAACTTGACGAGCGATGTTTCCTGTCGGCGCAGTCCATGGCCAATCTGAAGGTATCCGATCACTTCCAGGTGGTAAAGCTCCTGGGAGAGGGAGCCTATGGAAAGGTCATGTTAGCTGTACACAGAAAGAGAGGTTAGTGCAAGATTCAAGTGCCAAGGTCATGACCATCTCATTTCAGTCAGTCTGCAAGAGTGTAAGAAATTGCCATTCAAATTTCCCAATCGTAATATATTAAATTAAGAGTTTTTTTTATTTATTATGCCTCTAAACTTCTACTGCCAAACCTGAAATGGGTGAAATGGTAAATCTCCACTGCAGCACGTTATCTTCAGGTTTTTTTAAATGACATATGTCAGATGGGCGGCGCAGTAACGTGTGGAGCAATCTGTCTTTTGATAGTGTTCACTTAACCTTTTGCACTTCTGTTGCTGTAATGAAGCGCTGCGGGACGTTCTCTGAGATTAGGTTGCTGCACCTGGGGCTTAGCTGTGTAACAGAGTCGCCCCAAAGGGGAAGTTATATTTGTTCACAGTGTCAATGATGGAAAACAGTCATATACCATGACAGCTTTTTGACCAAAGCTGATTATATGTTGTAACACATGTTGTCTTGCTTCACCCCCTTCAGGAACCCCTATGGCTCTGAAGTTCTTCCCTCGTCAGTCCACCTCGCTCACCTCTTTCCTGCGTGAATACAATCTCTCACTTTCCTACTGCACCCATCCTTCTCTGACACGGGCCCTTGGCATCTTCTTTTCCACGCCGTCCTACTATGTCTTTGCCCAGCAAGCTGGTCTATACGGTGACCTCTACAGTGTGATAGTGTCAGAGGTCAGTTTGGCTGATTTGTGGCATGAAATGTGCTGTTAATGCCCTGCATGGCGTGTACAGCCGAACATACTTTTTCTTGTATAATGAAGGGTGTTTCCTCTAGTTTCAGCAAAACAAAAGCTTAAATGTTGGGTTGCAACCACTACATCTATATCCTACTAATTCCCATCCATCCATTAGCTATAGTAGCTTGTCAAAAGGCTTACACTTGATGTCTGCAGTGTGGTTTTCTCGTAGGGATTATATGGAAAATGTAGTTGCTGACCGTGCCCTTTTGAGCTCTCGTTTATGTCAGCAAAAACTTGAGACATGCTTGATAAAGGTTTCCAGCTCGCCCTCCTCTGTGTTTGTGTCACTGCCAGTAACATAATAGAGTACTGATAAGAAGAAGGGCACCCTGCTCTCATGGAAGTGAACTAAGCAAAGCGAGGGTTTCCAAGAACGTCACCAACCATTTTGGTGACGTAGATTTTGTTCGTCTTTGTGCCAACGATGTTCTGATCGCACCTCGCCATCAGATCATCAAATATGTAACGCTGTAATACGTGATAGAGAGTATGTTTTCTGATGTTGAGAATGCAGCTGACCCAGACTGTCTTTCTCTTTTAGCTCGGGGTGGATGAAGAGTGTGTCCAGAGGGTGATGGCCCAGCTGAGCGGTGCTGTTACACATCTTCACTCCCTGGGCTTCGTCCACCGCGACATCAAACCTGAGAACATCTTCCTGTGTGACAGATCCTGTCGCTGGGTCAAACTGGGTGACTTTGGCCTCGCCCGGGCCATTGGCTCCACTGTTCGTGCCGTCTGGTACGAGTCTCCCTTCTGCACTCCTGAGGTGGAACCTGGCAAGGAGGCTCAGAAGGAGAGGGAGTGGGATGGGACTGAAGTGGAGATGGAGGACATTTGGATAACGGTGGAGCCATGTATTGACAGCTGGGCCCTTGGTGTACTCGTCTATTGCCTCTTAACCGGCTGCTTCCCCTGGGAGGAGAGCACCCACGACGACCGCTGCTATCGTAGATTCAAGGAGTGGTTTGACCGTGAGACTGAAAAGGAGGAGAAGATGAGGGATGGTGAGTGGGGGGGTGAGGAGGAAATAGACAGTTATACAATCATGGAGGAGAAGCAAAGGGACAACCCTCCTCCCTCTCAGTTTGAGGGCCTCAGCCCACTAGTGATGACTCTTATAAAGGAGCTGCTCCACCCTGAACCCAAACACAGAGGGAGCCCTGAGGAGATCCTGAGCTACCTGGGAGGGCCGTGGCTGATGGAGACAGAGATCGAGGAGAAGAGGAAGGTAGACGAGGCAGAGAAGGAGGCCAGAAAAATAAGAGAGGAAGGAGGTGTACAAGAAGAGCTAGTGAGGGAGGGAAGAGGGGAGAGATAAGCTTTGTATTTATAAAATTGTTTTAGGTTTTTAATTAATGTAACATGTTTGAAAAACATTGCAGCAATGTATTTTTGTGTAAGATTTAAATCTAGTACAAACGTATATTCTATAAGGTGCTATATTTTCATATCCATTTTTTATAAATATCCTTATTAAAGTTACCACTTTCATTGTAATTGTGTATTTTACTGTGTGTATATATGTGAACATGTGTGTTTAGAATGAAAAGAGTCTAGAAAGTATAGAAAATACAAGAAAAGTTTGAAACTAAAAGCTGTATTATGGTGCCCTTAAACATCTGTATCGCAATTTTTGTAAAATAAACTCCATGTAATAGCTTCTCATGAGAAGCAGTTCATGAGTTACACGTACAGTGTCGTAGCAAGTAAATTGTATAGATTGCGTACAATAACAGATATGTCTCTAATTACACAATTAAGATAATTGTCACTTCAAGCCCCCAACAACCTGACCTCGCTGATCTTTTTGACTGAAATATAAACGTTTGTGATGCAGGACAGGAAGGGATCAGAAGGCAAAAAAGGGTTTATAAATGATGTATTATGAATTCAAAATAAACGTAATGGTAAACGTAATAATGTAGCAATACAATGATTAATGCAAGTGACCAGATAAGATAAGCTATACGATTAAGCTGTATGTTACATGGTTGATAGTAGGCTCTTTCCCCTGTAAATAATTATGTAATGTTTTAATAATAACAATAATAATTTAGTAATACAAAAATGTGATCTATAAACCAGGCAAAACAATTTTGAAACATAACACATCTTGTAAATAATGAAATCATTAAAAAAAAAAAAATCATTGATAACTTTTACAAGAGACTAGAAAGTGTACATATGGAAAGAAGTGACATCTCTGACGTGGTGAAGCAACAGGTGCTGCAGACGAAGTACATCTAAAATTGGACTGAACAATACAAGCTGATAGTGATACCAGTGTGATCTTCTTCCAAGTTTAAGTGATCCAAATCCCGGCCACAGTACTACCTGCAACGAGAAAACCTGATATCAGAATCAGAGCTCAGAAACAAGTTTATTGCAAAGTAGGTTTTCACATACAAGGAATTTGTCTTGCTGTTTAGTGCACAACAATGTAGAAAAAGTACAAGATCAATTGTAAAAAGTACTGCAAATAGTCAAGAAGAAATGTATACAGAAAATATGTTTAAACAATTTATTAAAAATATTTTTTCCCCACTGAAGCTAAAAACACCTTTATTATAGCATATTTTATTGTACATAACTTGGATACTTGTTGACGTGTTGACAGTAAAACAAACCTCACGTGAAGTCTGTGCGCATGACAGGTTGATCTCTGTGGGGACATTTGTCCTACATCTGTCACACAGGAAAATTACCCGTTGAAAAATCACCCGCATTCCTGATGCAGTGCTTCCAAAAGAATGCGTTGGTATTGCTTATAGCCACTTTGCACACTTCTGGCACCACTGAATTATGCTTTTGATGTTAACAACTGTCTACCACTGTAGAAGCAAAGAACTTGGGAGCAGGAAAATACAACTTTGAAATTACCTTTATTTCACAACAGAGGGAGTTGTATTTACTACCACTGCAATAAGTGCATCACTAAAATGCATCATAGAAAATGTATTTAAAATTGCAATGTGCCCAATGTCTCAGTTTCAAGTTGGAGTGTATCCCGGTTGGTAGCAAGCTGCTAATGTGCAGTGTGGTTGTGTGTGTATGTCGGGCTTGTGCTAACCCCTGCTAAGGACCACTCCAGATGGACTTAAAAATAGATCCCAGACCCATCTATTTACACACCATGCACATCATCACCCCTCTGACTATCCGCACTTTACAGACCTCCAAATGTAAAAGTCCGGCTGCCATTGGCGCCTGCGGGCCTGTAACAGCACAATCTGATGGAACACTGTGACCTGTTAACTGCCTCGTCTCTCCTCTCTTTTCATCCCTGGCCCTCTTTCTGATTACTTTTCCTCCTGGTGTTTCTCCTCTCATGCCACATAGGCCTTGTCTTTCGCTTTCATCTTCGCTTCTGTTGTCACATCTACTTTGTCCAACTGCGACAACAGTCTCACTTTCATTCAGTCCCTTCCTGGAACTTTCAGCTCCTTTAGCCGTGTCCCAAAGTAAAGTATGCTTACATTAAAACGCCATCTCCTTTAGCAACCGCTGTTTGGGATGCGCTGTTTACGAGGAAACAGAGGACACAAGGCTCATGTGACACTCTGGTGGGATCAATGGAGGACCACAGCCTGACAAATGGAAACACATGGTGTGGACCACAGAGACAATAGACTGCCAACAAAAAGATGCTGATCGAGGTGCTAATCTGTTCGAGGTCCATGAGGACGGATCACAGGGATGATGAAAACAGGAGAAGTGAAGCAAAACACTTGGGTCATCACGGCCTAATTTTCCCCCTACACCTCCAACTTTCTGTCACCTGGCTCATTGTTAAGGTTCAACTACTTTAAATGCTTAAACAGGATCGAGAGTGATGATACTGATTCACCAGAAGAGCGTCAAATCATCACATTAGCAGAGTGAGAAGCACTGATGAGCAACACTGGATCTAGTTTGTAGTATGTCATGAGTGAGCATTTACAGAGAATCACAAAGTGTTAATGGGAGAGTTCACTTGCTACAGTGTGTGTGTGTGTGTGTGTGTGCGTGTGTTGTCAAGCATAGAAAATGCAGCAGTAGCTACCAGCTAGACTGTAAGAGAGAAGGGAGAGTGAGGGAGGAGTGTTGGGGTGAAAAGGAGGTCGGTGGTGGAGTATTGCAGAGCTGGCATGCCTCTAGAAATTCCGTCTAGCTAATAAACAAGTCTAAAGATTATCATGTGTTTATTATCTGGCATGTTTTCCTAAACCATTCTTTTTAGAACCCCCACAACATGAGCAGCGTGAAGGAAGAGAGGCAGGTTGATGTGTTCAAAGGATTGATCGCCCCTCTTGGCTCTTCTCCTCCTCTCTTTTGCTAACATGGCCTTCATCTGTCAACGGCCTCGCCCAGTCGACCTTGTTAGGGCCACCCCACAGGCACTCACCCTGGAGTCCGTGTAGCCCCGATATGTCAAGGGGATGAATAGTGTCTCCCTCTTGAACTGACATGGCCTACCGTAGGGCGAGAGCCAGTGAGAGTTGTGACTTCAAAGGAATGTGTAGCAATATTTATATTAGCCAAGTCCATGCACAGTCAAGTTTCCCTTCCAATGCAGATAACAGTTCCAATGAAAACAGCTTTTCAACACAAAGAGCCTCTGAGACAAAAGGGTCAGGAACCATAGCCCTGATAGTCACTTTCATCTTTGCACAGATACCACTTGGGATATTGGAAGGATAGCTTAAGTACACCGTTAAGGAATTGTGGGTCAGATATGACCAATGTTTAATTACACACATGCAAACATAAACTGTCTGCAAGACATCTTTTATATTCCAATGGTTGAAGTTCATGACTTAATTAACTTGTGCTAGCTTTAATACACTTCTGTTGAGTTTGTTATTTAGAAATAGCGTCAAGAGACAACAAAGAAGAGCAGATGAGTAGCCTGGACTTCTTATCATGGATGAAAAGTCTTTGACATTATGTGATACTTTTTCTAATGAGGTCAACTGAGCAATTATGTTTGCAGAAAAAAGTTATTACTAAGTTTTAGTGCTTATTTTACAAATATCTTTTCAAAGGCATCACCTGTTAATGCACAAAATTCCAAAACCACTCACAAGAATAAATGAAGTATAAATAACAATACTAAGCAGACATGATCAAACACCTTTCACATTCTTTTGTGTTTTGAACACTTCCCTCGAAGATATGCATTCTCGAAAACAGAACAAGCGGAGCAAGATTTATTCCAGTAAAGCTGCAACTTATAAAACAATTGTTTGTATTTGTATTTTGCATTAATTAATTGGTAGTTTATTCTGTAAAAAAAAATACCCATCACCACTTCCTGTTCAGATGTCTCTTTTAGTTTGAGCAACAGTATCAGTTTACATCAATATAAAACGGAATATTTTGTGTTCTTGCTTAATCAGAGACATAAACAATTAATCAGTTAACGTTTTTAGGAATTGTCAACCAATCACCAATCATTTAAGCACTAAATTAACACCAAACAAACTGTAGTTACCATGGAGAATTCAAGTAATGGATGTAACGTGTTTAAAACACGGGACTGTCGCGGGACTGTTGCTGATCATTACTGCAGACAGACCCTGGGTCAGGACGGCTAATCTTCTGGGCTTTGGCCCACTTAATAGCATTAGCTGTTCTATCACTTCTGTCGTTTTTGACTGATCCCTGCATAAGATTGTATGTTTAGGCCAAATATCATATTCTATGTGCACTGCTCCACCTGCTGGTTAAATTAAGTAGTGCAAAAGTCAAATTTGAGGCCCACTGTGTTTGAATGCCTCGTGGGCATTTGTTTCTTTCAATTGCGTCATTATTTCATTTTCTCAAGCAGATTCCGGGAAGAATGTAAGTAAGACATTAGTAGCATTTGTATTCAGACAAGCCTGCATCTCTGACGTTATTACCTGAAATTAGAACAGTTTGTGTTTACTTATGTGTTTACAAAACTTTGGGTAGAAAGATTTAAAATGTCTGTCACTTGGGTGCCTTCACAAATGCAATGGAGCCCATTTAATGAACGAGAGAAACTGCCTCTACTTTTTGTGGAGGATGACTGAATATTTAGCTTTGTGTTACCTGTGTGGTGATGAGACACTGAGACACTAAGATACAGGACAGTGGGTATGTATATCTGTCTAAAAAAATGTCTGCTCAAGAAGATCAATATAAAGACCTGTGTGTGAACCAAAGAGGAAAAACTCATTAGATTGTAGCTGCATGCTACATTGTTTTTTACCAGATTGGGGCAGGACAAAAAAGTAAAAAACAAAAAAACTGTGATGGTTTGGAAGACAGGGGGAGGAGGAGGGGGAGGAGGAGGGAGGAGAGGGAAGGAGGGGAAAGAAGAGAAGACAAAAGGTTCATAAAACTAAAGCAGTTGTGGACGACAGCAAAGGTTGTAAGTATGAGTTAATTATTTTATCTATTTTCATCTCATATCATAGGAAATACACAGAGGAGCATCGGCACATGCAGGATATCTCACATCCAAAGATATCAATGGAAAGATATTTTCTATTGATGAGATGTAAACATGGAATGTGAACAGTGAAGGCTTGGCTGATTTACTTTAGAACCTATATTTCGTTGTTACATGATTTGCGCTTGCATGCAGAGTTCAGTAAGTAAAAGCAGTGGAAAAACATGCCACTCTCACAAGCAGATCAACAGAGGCATGCACTGAGTTAAACAAGACAATCCAGAGTTCTCACTTCAGTAATTGCAAATGTTTTGACTCTGGGTTGGAAAGCAGTAATATGTTCAATGAAAAGAAAGCTGGAAAAGAATGTGCAACTGTATCAGAGGAGGGGCGGAGGGGCGCTCCAATAGGGCACAAAAAAAACACATTCTTTTGAGAGAACTCACGTCTTGGACTGCAAAGTCACATTGACACATCACGAGAGGAATGATGCAGGGTGGGAGAGGGAAGGAGAAAGAGTAAGAGAAGGAGAGAAGGCAGGGAGAAAAACACATTTTTTGGAGGAAAAAACGTTTTTAAAGTGTAATTTAAAACTCTCTCTTACAGTTGCTCCTCTGCTACTTTGTCGAGCGGTTCACAAGCAGTCCAGCAGTCTACAGAAATAAACTTTAGAACAGATTATTCCACAGCAAAATGACATCAGACACTCCTCTATAACGATGACAACTTATCCAAAACACAGCACTACTCTCTGTGTTTTTAGCTGGAGAAGGAACCTGAGGGAAAACATTACAGTGACCTGGGAGCATTTATATGCAATGAGATTAAAGGAAACATAAACAGCAACAAAAATCTTGAGTGAGGATATTGAACAGTTCCACTCTGTGAAATCTTTCCAACTCTTTTCCTCTTCGGTTTCCTCCAGCCTCGTAAAGCTCAAACTCTTACAAGTTGAAGGAATGGGCCGACTTCCAGTGGTCCTGCTCCTCTGCAGTTTCCACGGTAACGCTGCCAAACAGGACACACAAATCATCTTGTTTAATTACGGTTGAGTCGCTGTGTGTTTGTTTTTATGCTGCGAAACACTCCCCTCATGTGGTTTCTGTTCCACAGCGCTCGCAGCTGTAGCCCAAGACCAGCCGACCGGTAATGCTCTTCTCCTCATAAGTCACACTTTTAGCTCCGGACGGGTTATGTTGCATGACGTCCGTCAGTCTGTGAGTCATTGCAATGGGTCACTGGTATTTTCCCAATCTGATCTTGTTTGTCTCCTTCTTTGTAGAGAGCACTGAAGCACCTGGAGGCACCTTGCCAGCCAGTGAGTGACGGCAGATTGGAGATGACCTCTGAACTGCCTCTCAAGAGGCCACATGAACCGAAAGTTTTGCATGCTTCATCTCGTGATAAGTGGTTGATCCAATTTAAACACGGCTGGTCTCTCCTGTCTCTGCAGACTGTAGGGAGGAGATGTATCCTTGCACCAGGATGTACTCGGTTCACCGGCCCGTCAAGAGATGTATTGGCGGCCTTTGTCTCTACAGGTGGTCTGCGATCTTTCTACCAAATACCAATTCTAATTTAGCAATTAAGCCTACCTGCAGAATGACTTTTATCAGTTAGCAGTGAATGTGTCGTATTCTAGCATCATCCGTGACTGTTTCTTAGACACACATGAAGTAGTACGGAAATCAGAAGTGGAAAAAGTACTCTTTACTCAAGTAAAAGTAGTGACATAATTACAATGGTGTTAAAATACACCATGAAAAGTTAAAGTCATGGAGTACTAAAAAAGTAAAATAAACACATGCATGCTTAGTTTTTATATATATTATCAGGACTGTGCGGGATAAGTTTAATCAAATTTTAAACTCAGCAACCCGCTCGGCTTAGGTGTGTAACCCTCAAATGTCATCAGATTTAGTCTCAGCTGTAGCTACAACAGTGTAAAGAGCAGCGGCAAAAAACACGGAAAACTCTCATGTGAAATAAGCCAACACTGTTCTGACGTTGGCAGGAAACAGAGGTAATGGCAGACTCCATTGCTCGTTATAAGAAACTGATTGAATAAATCAATTCAGGGCCTTTATTGTCCAAGCATATTAGCATTATCAGCAAAATGTACTTATACATAAACGTACTCGTTATAGAGCAGAATAGCACCCGTCAGTGTTTTGATGGTATAGATATTAGTAGATGGAGTTCACCTCAATCACTGCAGCTCTCTTACTACAATCATGATCTCGTGTTTCTGACGCAGCCGTTCTCGCGTCTACGTGATCAACAACGAGATCTGTGTGAGGACAGTGTGCCAGCAGGACGAGTATCTGAAAGGTGAGGCACTCTGCAAGTAAAAACAAGCTCGTGGATACGTGGTCATAACTTATCCGTCTTTTGCACATTACAGCCGAACTGTGCAGAGAGTTGTCCGGGTGGCCCAGGCGCGTCGAGAGGTCATCCAATAGGAAACGCTGTCGTCGCCATCGCCCTGGCAACCCCACAACCTGGGCAAACAAGGCCTGATGGGGCGCCAGGATGGCGACGTGACCACCTGTGAGGATGGAGCCTCTCAGAGACACAAACCGGGGACGTCGTCATAAAAACAGCCCATAACACCGTAAATCCACCACTCGACACCCAGGAGTCTCTTGCTCTTCCTCTCTCTCACTCACACACACACACACACACACACACACACACACACACACACACAC